AGTGTCTGCCCGCCAGGCTGCGCTTCCCAGCCCAGGCCACTGAGGAGCTGGCTTCCTGGGAGCCCTGGGAGGCCTGGGATGAGTGAGTGAGCAAACCCCCAGCCGGGCAGGCGGCTGGGCACTGGTCTGGACCCAGAGGAGGATCCGGAGGGGAGTGAGGCGGGCAGCGGACTTTGGTTTCCTGGGTCCCCTTCCTGGCAGCTGCAAAGGCTGTGGGTGCCCCACCTCCCTGCCCCTTGAGGTGTGGGCTGCAGGCGGTGTGCAGCGCTGGGAGAGGGAGGCTGGCCGTCTGACATGGGCTAGTGGGTGCCCCAGCCCTGGGCCCTCAGAACAGGATGCCCAGGGGGAGCAGGGCCAGCAGGAGCACCAGGGGGCCTGGGGAGGGGCTGCCTGAGGAGCTGGCTGAGGCACAGTGGTCGCGGTTGGCACCGATGCAGGCCGCGTACGCCATCACGTGGGGGATGTAGTTCTGCTCATGGACGCCGTGCAGCAGGTGTGCCATGGGGCCCTTGGCGAAGACCGCCACGTCCTCCCCGCCGTGGGTCTCGTGGCGCAGGGGCACAGCGGACTGTGCCTGGTAGTTGTTGTGAGCTGTGGGCCAGAAGGAACACTTGCAGAGAGCCCACCCAGGGCCCGGCGCTGTGCAGCAGCATCTCTGTGCCCCTCCCAGGCTGGCTGGAATGACCCATTTTATAGGAGGGAAAACTGAGGCTGAGTGCGTGGAAGACATTCCACACAGGCCACAGGATTCCGGCCTGAGTCTGTTCTAACATAGAAGCCTGAACTCTCAACCCTCAGAAGAGAAAATCAGCTATTTGGATTAGAAGGGAAGAGTCGACCTAGGAGCGGCTCTTACCATCGGCTGCACATTAGACCCCCCGCCCCCAGGGGCCTCTGGGGACATCAAAACAAATGCACGTTCAACAATAGGGAATGGGATGAACACCTGGAAAGGCTCATGTGTTGGAATATTATGCAGCCAGTAAAAATGACACTGGATAGCAAACACCTGTTTCTGCCAGGCTCTGTGCTATGCTCATCAGACCCTTTTAGTTTTTCAGGTGACCGTGGGAGGTAGGACCCGCTTATGGAGGAAACTGAAGCTGAGAGCTGAAGTTATGGGCCCACAGTCCCAGAGCTAATGAATGGCACGAGAGGATTCACCCCGAGACTGTTCTGACTCAGCGCTGGCTATTCCGAGACCCCGGACCTTGACCACAAGCCTACACTCTGTTCCCAGGCCCATCCCCGAGGGGTGCCCTGCCCCCTCCCAGTCCTGCGTCTTGGCATTCTCACCGTAGTCCACCATGGAGACATTC